AGAGCCAAGTCTGCCTGAAGGACTTGGGAAAGGCTCTCTTCATGAGAAAATAGTATCAATATTTTCTCTAAGGCTTGAAGGATGAGGCCTTCCAAGTTCACCATTGAGGGAAATGGGAAAGGCACTCCAGGCCCGGAAGCAGCGTGGAAAGAGGCCTGGAACTTGAATGCGCTTGGCCGCGGCACATAGTGGGGGGAAGGGGGAAAATGTGGGAAATAAGGTTATCAGGTAGGTCAGACCCCAGAGAAAGAGTTCCCAGGAGGGGTCATATAATCAGAACTATGTCTTAGAAAGATAATTCTGGATGCCTTGTAGAGCATGGATTGAGACCCAAAGTATCTGTTACAGCTGGGACAGGGAAGCTGGGGTCGCTGCACTTGTTTCCCTGAAAATAGAAATTGTGCTTTGTCCACACCAAGAGCACCCTGTGTGATTAGGGTCCTGACACCTTAACTCAACAAGAGTTTAGTGAAATCCCCCTCCGAGTTCAGCAAGCCTAGATGCTGGAAAGACCCGAAGAGCCAACAAAATAACCACTGTTGCTTCAACACCCACTGGATGCTTTTTATGCATTGTCTACTCTTTACAACAGTCCTGCAATATCACAAAGGGGGAAACTGAGGTTTTCTAAGTTCCCCTGGGCCAGGAAGGAGCAGAACCCGAACAAGAACCCTGGACTGGATCAGTGCAAAGTCCTGTCTGTGCTCACTCGCTCAGTCTCTCTGATTTGCCTCTCCCTCCCTTGCTTCCTTTCTTTCCTTCTTTTAACTTTTATCTTTAACTAAGTTATATGAGTGAATAGTTTTAAACACCTAATATGTACACAAGAATTCCATATAATGGTGTATATAATCAGAGTTAAGTTTGTTAGTAACAGAGCCTGGAAATAAGTGACTTAAATAAGGTAGAGATGTATTTTCTCAATTAATTTTAGAGAGAGAGGGAGAGAGAGAGAAAAAAAAAATAACACCGATTTTGTTGTTCCACTTATTCATGCATTCATTGGCTGCTTCCTGCATGTGCCCTCACCGGGGATCAAACCCACGACCATGCTGTATGGGGACGACGCTCTGAAAGACTGAACTACCCCGCCTGGGCAGATAGAAATGTATTTCTCTTTTATATAAAAGAAATCTAAAAGAAAGCAGTCCAAGACTGAATTGATGGTTTCCCACTCGTCAGGGAAACAGGCAAGTTTCCTCCGAACTTTTTTTCCAGTGCTTTTGTTTTCACCCTCCAGTTTTTGTTTTCCATCCTCAGTGCCTACTTTCCATTTTCCAATTTTCTTCAAAGTCCATGGTAACAGAAAGAGCTCCAGCCATCACATTAATATGCAAAGAAAGTAGGGGAAAAAAGGAGGGATGGGGAGGAGGCGGACCATGTCAACTGTTTTCTCTTAAAGTGGTTTTATTGAAACTACCCGATAACTTTCACTGGCTTCTTCTTGCCCAGAATTTAGTTAAATGGACACATCTAATTCCAAAAGAAGCTGAAAACTGTAATATTTTTTGCTGAGTACATTGCTGTCCACTTAAAAAACAAACTGAGTTTGTTGCTAAGAAAAAAAGGAGAATATATATTGAGTGGGAAATTTGTACTTTCTATCATAGGTTACAAACACACCCACACACAACACACAAGCACACACTCCCAGATAGCAGTTACTTACCCTCATCCACAATACCCACATTTCTGCTCTCCTAAGCCAAATATTTTCAACACTTGTAGCTAATTTTTATGTTGATTCACCAATACACAGAGTCCTGCACAAATAATGTCCTGTTTTTATTACAAAATCTTTTATTATAAAATCATAACTGTAATTCTGTAACATAACAATATCACACTCAAGCACATTGACATTTCAGGTGAAATGTTAAAATTAAAACTATAAATTATTACACCCATATTCTTACCCTACCAACCACACTCATGCTGGCATTACTTCTGCCAGATCCTATATTTCTAAATAGCATGTCAGTATTTTCTAATTTTTCAGGTTTAAATAGTACCTATTTCCTGCTATGAAAAATATCTTTCATTCTTTACATACATATACACATTGTTTGCATAATTATGATTATAGAAACATAACCTGAGCCTTTTAATGCACGTTTATATTTTCCTCTCATGACAACTGTTTCAGTTTTACATTGCTACAGAACTAACCACCTCAAAATTTAGTTTCTTATAACAACAGTAAGAATTTGTTGTGTTTACTAGTGTGCAGTTTGGACAGAGCTGGGGGGACGTCTTTGCTCTATGCAGCTTCAGTTGGGGTGGCTCAGCAGGAGGTTGGATGGTCCACTTTCAAGGTGGCTTACGTAGCTGGCTTGTTGTCCTGCCTGTCCGTTGAGGACATTGGTTCCTCTCCACAGGCTATTTGTGCTTCCTCATGGCATGGTGGCTGAATTCCCAGGCACGTGTCCCAAGTAAACAAGATAGAAATGCATTCATGATCTAGCCCCAGAAGTCACAGCATCACTTCTAATGTAATCTGTTGGTCAAATAATTCCAAATGGGTCATGAAGTTCAAGGGGAATAGGCATTTACTCCTTTTGATGGGGAAGTGACGAAGTTCTAGAAGAGCATATGGGATGGGAAATACTGTGGTCTTCTTTGGAGACTATAATACTACATTGTGTCTTCGTCCATTTGGGCTGCTACAATAAGCTACTGTAGACTGCATGGCTTATAAATAACAGAAATTTATTTCTCACAGTTCTGCCCCACCCAGCATCACACGGAACAGAGCCAAGCTAGCCCCACTGAGTCCTGTTCAAATTGTAAAGGTAAGAGCAAATAAATAGTTATGTTTTAACCGCTAAGTTTCGAGGGTAACCTGTTACATTGCCACAAGTAACTTGAGTGTAATATTTAATCTCTGGACTGGGCAGGAGACTTTATTTGTGCTCCAGTTACTTCCTTCATGTATCAAAATCTAGAATCAGGCAAATTAATCTCTTAAGGCCTCTTTCTGCTCTGACATTCTATTACAGGGTGAATAATTCTATCATTCTATAATCTTTAGTGTGCGCTTGCCATTTCTACCTAGGCACTATTAGATGTGGAGGTACAGTAAAGTGTGAACAAAACATCTCTGAGGCCTTAGAGGACAGTGTGGATGCATAACAGCAGACAAAGTATGAGATCTGTTGTAGTGAACATTCTCCTCAGCCACAGGGGGAGAAGAAAGAAAAAAGAGGATCTTTGCACTAAGAGATTTATAAGTTCTTTTGTACTAGCAGAATGGGCCCCACATTCCTCAGATATTTCTAAACCATGGCTTCTAATTACTTCTTTTTATAATAACACCAGTGTAAGTTCTGTAGCATGAAGCAAAGTCTGATTATTGCACAGATCTCTTTGTTTGGATCTGCTGGATGCCAAAGATAAGCAAAAACTTTTTTTTTTTTTTTTTTTGTATACTTGGTGGCTTTTATGTATTCCACATGGTATGATTTAAATCTGTAGAGGGCCAATCACAGCACAATTAGGAAGGAGGAAGAGGCGGTGGGATCTGCCTACCGGAGTAGAAAAAGGTGGCAGAATCCTGTCCAACCATTACTGTCCGTCCCAAAATATTCAGGGGAGCAGGCAAATAAATACGGTTTAGGCTTCTGGACTAAACTGAAGAACTATAAGTGTAAATCAGAAATTGTATCAGAACAATTGCTCTATTTTCTATTTGTCCTTCTGGTAGGTCTTATCCTTCCAAGTGAATGAACACGGTAACAGTGAGCTCCGTGCTGAGTGTCCTGAGACCCCATTTTTGGCCTGGACTGTGCAGCTAACTGGCATGACAACGGACGTCTTTTGCCTTGCTATCATTTTTGAAACCCAGGAGTGTAATGGCACTCAACTGGAAAGTAAAAATGAACGTTAAAATAGATGGGAGATTTGGATACAGAAGCATTACCACGAGGAGAAAGAGCTGCAGGGAGTGTCAAAGGAGGCAATTCAAAGGCACCCCAGTGAGAGAGGTCTTTGGGATTCTTAGCAAAACATTCCTGTTTGAGGTTTGAGTCCAGTATTTGCGCAGTCACACGCGAAAACATGTTTGCTCACATGTTGCCCCTGTGGAAAGCAAAGCAGGGAAGAAATGAGAGAGAAACTGAGCAAAACCAAGAGAGGGAACTGCCTAAGCAGCTGAGAAAAAACGACCGTTGTGAAAGAAGGGAGAGAGGAGACTTCTTTGTTGGAACTGGAGGTTCAAAGCCACCCGCCCCACCCAGCCCAGGAAGGCCTGCCACAAAGACGCCCAGAGCTGCCCGGCGCAGAGTGCTGAGTCCGGGCCCCAGAGTCTCTCCCAGAAGCAGAGCAGAGCTCTCCCAGGGAAAGGGCGCCTCCCGGGGCAGCAGAGGGCTGGGATCTGGCTCCTGGCTTCTGCTCCCCCTCCCCAATCCTGGCTCCGGCCTCCCTGCAAGCTCGGAGTCTTGGCGGGGCAGGAGCCGAAGGATCGCCCTCCCCGCCCTCCTCCTGGGAACTGCTGGCCAGAGATTAAGCTAGTAAATTTGCAGACGGTCATGGGGGAGCACGATGCCAGTGGTCCCAGATCCGGGGAATCACGACTTAGGTTTTTTGGATCAATTTTTCCTTCCATTGCATCGATGCCAAAAAAAATAAAGTGACTTAACCAAGTTCAGAGTCTACTAAAGTCTTGCTCATTTATTAATTTAAACCGGAGCTGAGAACGCCACGTGGCGCTCCAGAAGTAAAATGAAGAAGGGAGGAAGAAACGAGGCTGGCGGCCCTCGAGGAAGCCTCGGGGCGCCTACATGGAGGGCGGGACCGGGGGCCGCTCCGCCGGGTCCCAGCTCGGGGAACGTTCCAGGGCGGGGCGGGCCCTCCTGGCGAGCGGGTCGGGGACGGTGAGTCACCACGGCCGGGGTGGGAGCGGACGAGGGGAAGGGGGAGGCGGGGCGGGGCGGGGCGGGGCGGGGCGGGGCGGGCCTCGCCCGCACCGTGAGGATGTCGTTGCTATAAAAGCCCCACCCAGGCCTGCTGGCTGCGCTCTGCATCTGGGGACACTCACAGCTCTCAGCGCCCGGCCCAGGTAAGCGGGGCGCGCCCTGCCCTCCCGCTATGGCCTGGGGGCCGCTGTGCTAGCGGGGCGCGGAGAGGCCGGGAAGAAGACGGCCTTGCAAAGAGAAGTTAGGGCGACGGGGACCCTGTAGGCCATCTGAGGGAGGGGCTGGGGGGCGGTTCGCACAGGGTTCTGCGGGAAGGGGTCGCAGCGGTAAGGTGGTCCCGGCTGGAGTAAGGGCGGCCAGTTGTGCTCCGCGTTGGGGTGCAGGGTGGGAGAGAGGGGGTCGTGCAACCTCCAAAGTGCTCCCAGGAAGCCCGGAGAGGCGGCGCAGGGGAGGGGTGCAGAGGGAGGCCCCGCATTCCAGACGCTCTAGGCGCGGGCAAGGTGGGGGGCAGGGTGTGGCCGCCCCGGGAGCCGCGCGTCCCGAGCGGAGCAGTCCCCCGGGGCATTTACCTGCACATTTCACAAAAGCTTTACGGCCGTTTAGAAAGTAATCCCCATCTTTTACAAGTTTACTTTACTTGAAACAAATGCGCATTTGTGGAACTTGAACCGACCTGCTGGAGAGAAGCGGGGTCGGGGGGAGGGGAGAGGGGGAGAAGAGTGAGAACATTTAGTAGCAACCTCAGTCCCCAAAGCAAAAGGAAAAAAACCTCAGCTTATTCTCCTTTGTCTAGGTTATCTTGCAAGAAAGCAACTTCTGATTTCCTTGTATCTGGAGAGTTTCCCACTTGGTTGACCCCTTTTGAATCAGGAAGGAAGTGTCTCCCCCGGGGTTCAGTGGGGAGGGTTGTCACCGTGATGCCACAGTGAGTCAGGGACTGAGGGTACAGAAAAGGGTGTGGCCGCGGGCCTCTCCCGGCAGCTCGGTGGAGTGGGTCCCGGTGCCCGGAGCGGGAGGGCTGGATTCCGTCAGCTGACCGTGGACGACGTCGGAGGGGAACATCAATTTCCTTACCTACGAAAGTGGTGTAAGGATCCCCTTTTTTTTTTAACCTCCATTCACATAAGGTTATTACCGAAACTTTCAAAAAAAATGTTCATTCAAAAATAAATATGTAAAGCATACTGAAAACATTAAGTGCCAGGCAATTGTGAAGTATCACTTGTATGTTCAGAGTTGCCATTTTAAAGCGTTCGGTATTCTGAATTTGTGTGTAAAAGAGCAGTGTGGCCTTATGGGTGCGCGCTGGGTCTTTTCCAAGAGCAGTAAGTTATGGAACACAGGAACCTGGGTCCCTGAATTCAGGCGGATTCTGTTCAAAAGTGGGTGCCACTGTGCCTGCCTGGAACTTGGTGGTTTGGAAAACAGTGCGCTTTCCCACTGAAACAGGGTTAGAGGAGGCGCTTCGGTTCCTAGGCTGGTCCCGAACCCCTGCTTCCATGCACTGGTTTCTAAGGACTAACATTACAGGACTAATTTGGGGGGTGGGGGTGGGGGGGAGGAAAGGAGGAAGGGTAAGGGAGGGTGTGTGGGTAGGAAGAGTAAACGACTGAAGTATTTATTTTTGGAACTTTTATTAGTTTTGAAGTTGATCCAGATTAACTTATTTTAATTAGAAAATTACGTCTTTGCCCTCCCTCCACCCTCCACTTTTCTCTGCATTCCTCCTGCCTCCTTAGAGACCTTTTTTCTTGACAACTTACAAAAGCCATCCAAGCTTATCCACTTCTGCATTCCCTCCTCCTTCCTACTTCGGTGTCCCTAACACCCAGCTAGAGATTAGCAAATTGAATCTATTCATTTATATGCATTGATATTCAACTTCAGGATTGGTTGGTGGCCTGAAAATCTTCAGCGATCCAGAGGAGTTATTTTAAAAACAAGAAAAACTTGTTACCTGAACAGATCTGTAATTTTTAAAATTCGAGACTGTGGAATCAAGGAGCCACGTAATATAATATTCAGGCAGTGGGAAGGAAGATTTCAGATGAGGCCAAGTTCAGAGAGGCGAATGGTGTTAAGACATTCCCTCTTAGCACTTTCTTCCCTTCTCCGAAGTCTGTCTGTTCTCTAAAAGCTTTGAGAGTTTCTCCAGAATTATCCATCGCCTCTGCAGTGAAAGGGTGTGACCATCAGTGTGTGTTTTTTTTTTTTTCCGTTGGGGGTTTATGATTTGGAGACCACCGGAGTTTGTAATTTCTTGCAGTCCCAAATGACCTGTTTTGTGTAAATGCGCAAGAAATATTGCTGACTCACTGACTTTGATCAGGAGCTTGGTCTTGGATTGGCGTCTCAGTACTTAACATCCTGTGTCTGAGCTATTAAAGTGCTGTATTGATTGACGTCAGGCCAGTAGTCCTGGCCATTAGTCTCCTGATTAATTTCTGATTTAAGTAGTTTTTCTGGCAAGGTAGATATCTTTCTATAATTGTTATTGATTTTGAGGTCTGTAGGCTCTTCCTGCAACACTGGGCCTCGACTCTGGCGCCAAAACACTTTCATGAGCCTTTGTTCTCATTCTGCTTGTGTGGGGCTCTGGCCTTTTTTCACTGAGGGTGGGTGTGTCACAGAGCCCTAGGCTCTGCGGAGCTGCTTTAAACATCCATTCATTCCACAGTATTTATTAAGCATCTATTGTTCTACTCACAGTTATAGGCACTGGGGGTACATCAGTGAACACAACACACAATATTGACAAAGTAAATGAACTGTGTAGACAGTAATTGGATTTTGAATGTTACGTTTCCCCAAATCTGTGTTAGTTTCCAAGCTTAGGAGGGGTTCCTTGTCCCTTTAACCCAGTTGTTCTGCGGATCTGAGCATCATATTTAGGGAAACTGTTACTTAAACGTTATTGTAACTTAACCTGTATTCTGGATTTGATTGTGAGAATTTGATAGAAAAGGAATGCTCTTTTTTTTTTTTTAACATGAGAATCCACCCTTCTCATTTTCCCTGGTACCACACCCTAGTCTAGTTTTAGGCTAACTCAGAGGAAATTCCAGCCCTTAAAAAAAAGTTCTTCCGCCCATTCACTGTCTGGGGTATTTTTCCTTCTCCTATCGCCAGAGGCAGTCCCCATCTACTTTGTTGGGGAGCAGGTCACCAGGAGGGGTCAGGGATACCCAGGCTTGCTCTGGGTGGTTCTCCTGAGATTACCTCCAAATCTCCTTTTCAGGGTACACCTGGAAGTTTTTAAACCATCTGAGCTCAGTCTCCCTAGAAGTCAATAGCATCCAAGTAGTCTAATCCTAGGCTTGGTGTGGGAAGTTCTGACTTACGGGAGTGGCTGCGACGGGGATCCTTGCCCTTTGTCTCCCTGCCACTCCCAGCCTCCTTGCGTACAGCTCAGAGGAAGTCAGAGTCCCAAGGCCACTCTTCAGATCCTTCCTCCTTTCCACCTCCTTCCTTTCCTTTCCTTCCACAGGAGATGTAGGTAACATTTCAACAGTGTCCAGTGGACAGAGCAAGGACCCAAGAGGCCTTGACAGGACAGAGGTGGGGTGCTGAGCCGGGGGCGGGGGTGGGGATGGGCTGCATATCCTGAAGAGAAAGAATTTGCCCTCAAGTGAGCTGGTCAGGTTTTGTAAAGACTTGCACAGACGCTGGGAATCGAAGGCTCCAGCTCGGAAAGTGTGGAACTGGAACGTCTTCATTGGAAATGTACAGTCTGAGGGAGAGAAAGAAAATTGAGGAAGGGGAATGCACTGGAAAAGAAGGGAAAAAAGAATATGGGAAGACCTGGTGTGTGTAAATCCTCCCAACCTGTAACTGAACACCTAGTACGTGCTGAGCACTGTGCTGAGAACCATTAGGAAACCGGACTGAGTAACACGGAACCCCATGGGCAGGTAGAATGGAAGGCCGTCAATACATCCTCACCTCAGATTTCAGACAGGCCAAGAGCCGCAGGAACACAGAGCAGGGAGAGGGGCAGGGGAAAAGGTAACTACTGCGTTTTGTGTCCAGAGGCCTTCATGGGGATGTTTACTGATCATGATTGAGAGTTTCTTAGTGGAGGAGGGAGGAGAACCCCTGCCTGGAGGTAGAAGGACAAATGATAAGTGTGTCTGGAGAACAATTACAAGTCCAGTCTGATTCGGGTGCTGGTGTGCGTGCATGTGCGTGCATGTGTGTAAGAGATACTTACAAATCCGTAGGTAAAGTCTAGAGTGTGGAAGACTTGAATGCTGAGTTTAGACATTTTTTTCTGTTGGCAGCACGGCCCCACTGGAAATACAATCTACGGGCCATAAAACGCAGAAATTGAGTTGTAGATGTGAAGGCCTTGATTTCTCAACTCTGAAAGTGCTTCCTGCCAACTGAGGTCATTCTTCCTGCTGGTCTCTTTCCGCCCACTCCATCCCCATATCAGGACTGTGTACAGAGAGGCTCTGAGAGCAAAAGGCTGCCACCTGTCTGTAGGTAGCAAACAAAAATTGATTCAGATCAGTCAACAAAAGGGGCAAGCCAGAGCAAGCGCTGTGTGTCCCTCCTGCTCAGTATAGTAATCAAGGCCGCTGGGCAGAATTCCAGGATTTCGGGAGATGGCTTAGCCCTCTGACTCAGGCATTAATTAAGAACCATAAAACCAAGGAGAAAGTGTGTGCTTTCAGGAAGGTTCTATTAAATAAAAATGCTTCGGGGGTTGGGGAGTGAAGTACAGGGGGAATTCCCTGCCCACCTCTGCTTATACATTTCTTTCTCTCCCCTTTTTGGTTTAGAATTACTGTCTGGTCCTTTAGACCTAGTATTTTGCTCAGTAAGGTCTTTGGTGGGGAAGCCCAACCTTCCACCCCCCTCTACCCCTTATCCTTCTTTGGGTTTTAAAAATCCTCTTTTGTGTCATCCAGTCCCTGATTGATTCAGCCTGGTTGCTAGGGACGTGTTTTGTGGTGATGGGTCAACACTACAATGAAACTATAAAGTGGGCGTGTCAGCGAAGCTGTTGGATTATAGTCAGATTCTGCTCTGCGGACCAGCTCTGTTGCAACATGTTTTCGTTTGTGCACATATATTTGCTTTTCCTGGAGCTGATTCTTAGTTAATGTCAGTAGAATTTATTTTTACTATTTCTAGCGTT